CTGTGTGTTTTTCTTCGGCCCATTAGGGTTTGAAGAAAGAATCCACAATGGAACAAGTGGTTTTTTTTTTTTTTTTTCTCGAGTAGATTATTAAGAGGCAAAGCCTAAGATTTTACGGGAGCGAAAATCACTGAAACGTGCCACGCACCATTCACTTTAGCGGCAACTTTCCTTAGGTCAGTAGTGCATAGTATGTTCCCACTTTCCCCCACATTTAACTTTCACCCCCCTTTACACGATTATCAAACGCCATTGTTCTGAATGATAATTTAAGCGACATTTACAGAGATTATGTCAGCCATGTATCTAGACGTGTCTGTGTCTCGCAGTAGCACAGAAAATATGGAGTGTTGGGGTAACACTATATAAAATCCTACTGCTCAGCACCATAAAAGACTATATAAAATCCTATATAGTGTTGGGGTAACACTATATAGCTGCGGTTTTGGCAACACACAAAAACCCCTCGAACTCATTTGGAGAGCACCGATGAATAATGCTCCGCAAAGTCACAATTTGGTAGAAGATTTACTGCTCGATTCTACCTAATTCATTGACCAATCTTATGGATCTCAGAAAAATTGAAATGCCATTTATTTGCTACGTACAGAAATATAATCTAGATGCATATGTTTTTTTTTATAGGGAAAATTACAAAACATTCTCAAGACTACACTCATTATGCAACTTAGCCCCAACCCAACTTATTCTCACTTTTTTCTCAAAAATATACTTTTTATGCAAATGCCTCCCAACCAAAAAGTTCCTTTTTTTTTTTGATGGAAATGCCCTTCCTATACAAAAATAATCAATTTCACCACTTAAAAAGGCCTCACTTACAAGGCCTTCACGTGTGGTACTGTCGGAGCGACAGTACTTTGAAAACATATACTGCCGGACCGCTCTTTGAAACTGCCAGAGCGCTATAACTAACAGAACCTTATCTACCGCATCACTCTTTGTAAGAGTCGGAGCTACCACCACCGGACCGTCAATCAATATGGTACTGCCGGAGCATGCATTGAAAAGTACTTCCAAAACATGTACTGCCGGACCGCGCTTTGAAACTGTCGGAGCATCATTGACTAATAGAACCTTATCTACAAGAGTGCTCTTTGCAACTACCGGAGAGACCACTATCGAACAGTGCTTTCAAACTGCTGGAGAGTGGTGGTATTGTCGGAGCATGCATTGAAACTGTTGGAGCGGCAATACTTCCAGAACATGTACTGCCGGACCGCGCTTTGAAACTCCTAGAGCGGCATGACTAATAGAAAATTTTTTGCCGCAGTGATAACTGTCAAACCATGCTTTCAAACTATCGAAGCAATGTTGTACTGCTAGAGTGGCATGACTAATAGAAAATTTTCTGCCGGAGCGCTCTTTGTAACTGCCGGAGTGACAGCTACCGGACCATGCTTTCAAACTACCGAAGTGATGTGGTACTGCCGGAGCGTGCATTGAAACTGCCAGAGAGGTAGTACTTCCAAAACATGTACTGTCGATTCACACTTCGAAATTGCCGAACGGCGCTTCGAAGTACTGCCGCTCCGACAGTTTCAATGCACTCTTCGACAATACCACACGTGAAGGCCCTGTAAATGGTGAAATTGATTATTTTGTACAAGAAGGGCATTTCTGTAAAAAAAGGAAACTTTTTTGGTTGGGGAGAGTATTTGTATAGAAAGTATATTTTTGGGAAAAAAGTGAGAGAATAAGTTGGGTTGGGGGTAAGTTGCATAGTAAGTGTAGTTTTGGAGGTTTTTTGTAATTTTCCCTTTTTTATATTATTTGCTCACTAATTATAATGATTACTCAAACTTGCCCTACATCTATATATGACAACCGAAACAGTACTTTCACGGCACTAAAATAATATCTTGTACAACCGCTTCACACTGCTAGCATGCCAGATGCATGTTTTCTGACCACTATCTAGTTACATGATATTTTCCCTGCTCATACAAGAAGTGAGCTCCAACCATGCTGGACTCGTAACCAGCAACACTCATCTCTTTTTGTTACAAGCATTTACAATCAAATCAAAAGCTTCCTCATCACCATGTTAGAAAATAAGATCATATCCTATCTGGACATGAGATTCAGTAAGGCCTGATTTTCATAGAAGGAGCCAACATCCCAGTCCTCAGTTGATGATGAGTGTGTCATCAAAGCAACCACTATTGACCTCATACTCGGTCTCAGCTGGGGGTTCTCTTGTGTACAAGCCTTTGCAAGCTGGGCCATCTGCAACAATAAAATCAAGGTCACCCGTCATACTTTTTAGTGGTCTTGCCTTCTAAACTTGAGGGAAGTTTTTGGATTGAATCTTCTGTTAGAACCTTATAAACTGGATCAAGAGGGTAATTATCCCCAGGTCTCGGGCCTACAAGTTGGCAGAGTTTCTCCCTTGCATCAGGTTCATTCAAAACGCTCTCAAACTGCAAACATCAAGAGACAAAAGTAATTCTCAACTGCATTTAATCGTAGGATTTTAATGGTGGAGAAACAAACAGGGGCAAGGGAAACAAACCAGTGCAACAAGTCCTTTCGATTCGGTAACAGAACCACCTGTCTTTACAACTGCTTGCTTGGTTGAAATAAGTTCATATAGAACAACTCAAGCCATAGACATCCACCTTAGGAGAAACATCGCCAAACTGAGCATATCTGCAAATTTTCATCCATCCCATACTCCTTATGGCCAAAAATTTGAAATGATGCGCTATCAAGCAATTCACTATTATTTGATCAGAAAGAAAATATCGATGGAAGGTATCAAGGTTAAGCAGAGAGAGAGAGAGAGAGCTCAGTTCGAAAACAAAGCATGTCATACAAATTATTCATAAACTAGCAAGCATTTAAATGATAAAATGAAATCAAAACGAATTCTATCATCAAGAAAAAGACCAAACTATCATGTGCAAGTCTTTTATTCTGATAAGAAATAGTACGTGGCTTACCTCATCAATAATTTTCCCCTTAATTTAATTGAAAAGTAACAACTTTTCTTTAACTGTATGTAGAAGGAAAAGGTTGAATCAGCATGTGCATTTAAGGTCCGAGGAAAATGTAGAAGGAGAGAGCCCTCTTACACGTGCGAGCCATAAATCAAACAAAACAAAGAAGTAGTACGTGCGCATTAAATAAAGGTAAGGTGTATTCACTTAGTTAATATGCCAATTACAGATGCAACCAATAGCACAATTGATTCAGGTTTTCCAATTTCAATTCATTTGAGTGTGAAATGATTTTCCACACAGCAATGTCACTTCCACAACTTCATGTTCAAGCAGGTCCTTGACTAACCCAGCAGATAGATCGATATTTTACTCCAGGGAAGGGAGGTATCACCCTCTTAACTTGGTAGGAGGGACCTTGTTGGCTGTCAGGTACAACGTATCAAAATCTAGCTGGGGGTTCAAGTGAAGCCCGCAAGGTGTTGAAATGCTAAAGATCACTACAAATTCAAGATATTCAAAGGACGTCGAGGAAGGTAACATAGCTTGTAGCACAGAGTCTGGGTGAATATGATCCTATCAGTGGATGTATCCAGTGAAATTAAGTTCTGAAGCAAAAAGTGTCAGTCAGCTGATTTGGTTATATAACCTTACCTAACCATACCCTTAGGAGTTCTTTCAAGATGAGAGGTTAAAGCACCGTCTGGTGCACCGCATGTTAACTAAGCAACTACACTCTGAGATATACTTCAAGGATTAGCTCAAGTTGGAGATATGAAAGCCTTTTGAAGAATGCTGATGATTGGAAATGACATGATAGGTATTAGGAAATTGTCCCTAAATCACTACATTTCCCAATGGGGACCCTGCTGGCACAAAGAGCATGTTCCTTGGGCACATAATAACTCGTCATGGATTTGAATGTGAATACAATGTGGACCACAGATGAGGGAAGGTTGGTTGGGGTACAATCCACCCTCTGAGTCCCAGAGAAAGAGACAGAAAGGAGCTCTATCCCCCATCAAGGGAACTTAACCCTACATATAAGGATCTCAATCCCTTTGGAAAGGACTGGAAACATGAAAATGATGAGGTAACTCTGCACGCACACACACACACACACACACAGTGTCGAGGCAAAGAGGGAAACGCGTATGAGCTAGAAGTGGCATTTTGGTGAGAGTTTTAACATTTGAATGAGGGTGTACTAGAGAGAGAGAGAGAGAGAGAGAGGGGTGTAATGATTTTCAATCAGGAGAGGAAGCAGAAGTTATTGTAAAGTTAGGTAAAGATTGAATGTGTTGCCAGCATTGCTTTGCGCAATGTGTATCAGAATCTAATGTCTAAGAATGTTAAAAAGACAAAGAGGCCAGATATGGCTTGATGCCTCCACAAGCTAGCCATGGGATCTGCAAAAATGGGGTTTTATAAAAAATACGCCTTGCTTTCAAATATGAGATACAAAGCCAAAGGCTTAACAACTTCGGATAAAATTACCACTTTACTACTAACAATCCTAATGAGGAAAGAAAAAAATAAAAAAGATAAACTTTAATCTATTTAGATAATCAGGAATTAGATGAAAAAGAACAAATCTCAGTACCTGCTGAGAATACCATCTGCAACGAGTGTACTTACTTGAGAACACTAGATAAGAACCAACCCGGTGTAATACGGCCATGGAGATGGCCATTGCACTGTCTTTCGGCAGACTAAATAATTGAGAAGTGAATTGTTTGGCAGATAACAGGGGAAACCAGAAGCCACATCCAGGAACCCTATCGAGTGAACCCAAACTATAGAGTGTTTGATGATGCCTCAGCATGCTTTATGAGATCCAAGTATGGGAAATTTCAAACAATTAAATGTGTTAAAAGTCCTATTGTATTAGTTCTAGGACCTAAGTGGCCTTTCATATGTTGTATGAGCAGTTCTACTCTTTCATATTCTTTTAATAATATAAGTGGTTTAAGAGGCGTGTGAGGGGTTAGTTTTGAACCTCATGTCATTCTATTCTCTCCCACACGCCTTTCATATCTCTCGCTTCTCTTTTCTCTTTCTCTTTTCTCTTTTTTCTCTCTAGATTCTTTGAAAGGGTATCAGAGCACATCTGATCTTTCAGCTCCTCCTTTCTCTTGACCCTAAAATTTCATCTTCCCCTTTCTGTAAACCCAAAACTTTCATCTTCCCCTTTCTGTTCATCTTGCCCTTTTTCTAAACCCTAGACTCTCATCTTCCCCTTTCTCTAAACCCTAAACTTTCATTTTCCCTTTTCCATTCATCTTCCCCTTCCCTTAACCCTAAATTTTCATCTTACCCTTTCCTTTCAACAAAAAGAAAAAAGAAGAGAAAAAAAAAAAAGATAAAAAAATGTAAACCCAAACCCCGTTGATGCTGATCTTGCCAAGGCACCCTAGGACAGTTCGATATAAAACCCTAGGTTTGTTTCTAAGGGTTTCGTGTGAAGAATGTCATGCGGATCTTCTGTTAGTAGCAATGCTGCTGGGTGTGAGTTTTCCCTTTCGAGGTCAAGATCTACAGAGAGGTTGTGACCTAGTTTCAATGATAGCAACATTGTGATGCTCAGATACGTTTAATGTGGTGTTGTCCTAATTTATTCAAGTGTGAGAACGTGACCAGATCTGAATGATAAGTATCTCTCTCCTCTTGATGTGGTTTCCAACATTGTACTAGGCTTGTGTAAGTGACTGAAATTTGCAATCCTGGTTTTACTCTTTCCCTTTATTTTATAAACATAGGGATAAGGAAATTAAATCTGGAATCCTTGGTCTTCCTGAAGTCTATTTAAATAGTATGGGCTGAAACTATAAATGTATCCCTTGGTACAAGGTTGAAACATAAATACTTGACTGAGGACAAGCCTAGTAAATCTGATAGTCCATATGAAGAATGGTCATATCTGTGTAGTGGTCATATGTGCATATTGTTCATAGTATGCACCATGACACAACATGTTATAATCTATGTGCGTATACTATTCACAAAGTAACCCCATGTACTTACACATACAGTGTATCAGAGAATATACAAAGAAAAGAGAAATGGAAAGAGAAGAAGAAGAGAGGAGAGAACAAAAAAATACGAGAAACAAGAGAGGAAAGAAAAAGATGTGAGGTTCAACCTGCCCTCACGCACCTCTCAGCGTTATATTTTATTCAAATTTTTGATATGGACAAAACTGTTATCATACAAATATAATTAGGACACTTAGGTCCAAAACTTTGAGAACAAAGGATTTTAACGCTCCTCCTCAAGAAGAAGCATAAATGTTGCCCATGCCCAGCTTGGAACAAATTGTTTGGAACATATTACAACCAAGACCTTTGGTGAAAAAGTCTGCTAGCTGATCCTTAGATTTCACATATAAAGTAGACACCTGGGTACAAATCACTCTCTTAGATAAAATAACAGTCTACTTCAATATGTTTGGTCCTTTCATGAAACACCGGTTTACTGGCTATATAGCTGCCAGCTTTGTTATCGCAATAAATCTTCATGAGTTCAGAACAGCAAAGCCCATGTCCTGCATCAGTGTTTTCAGCTACATCAATTTAGATATAGTGTGCACCATTGCTCGATATTCAGCCTCGGCACTAGATCAAGCCGCAACATTTTGTTTCTTACTTCTCCATGTTACCAAGTTTCCACCAATGAATGTGCAATAACATGTGGTAGACCACTTGTCAGATGGTGGTCCTGCCCAATCAGCATTTGAGTAATCTTCAATAGCCAAATGATTATTTGGCTTGTAAATCAGACCACGACCTGGGGCACCCTTCAGATACCTTAAAATTTTACAAACAACATCCCAGTGAGGAATCCTCTGAGCATGCATAAATCAACTCATAACACTTATTGCAAAAGCAATATCAAGCCTGATTATGATCAGATAAATCAGCCTGTCAACCCATCCTTTGTACCTTCCTGGATCCTCAAACAACTCCCCCTCATCAGCCAATAATTTCACATTTGAATCCAGTAAAGTATCCACTGGTCTAGCAACCAATATTCCAATTTCTTTCAACAAATCAGTTACATTTTATTTGAAACAAACTAATACCATATTTTGATTTGGCTACTTCATTTCCTAGAAAATAACTTCGCTGGCCCAAATATTTAATCTAAACATATTGTTTTAGATGTCTCTTCAAATGACTGATTCCTTCTTGATCATTGCCAGTAACAACAATAGACAACTAAAACAATTATTCTAGAGTCTTGTTTCCATATAAATACTGAATGAATTGCATGACTGCACCAAAATCCATATGCTATAACAATTTCATTGAACTTTTCAAACCATGCCCTTGGAGACTGTTTCAGGTCATAAATGGCTTTTTTAAACTTGCACAATTTATCAGACTCTCCCTGAGCAACAAATCCAGGTAGTTTCTCCTTGTACACCTCTTGTTGTAAATCACCATGGAAGAAAGCATTTTTGACATCAAGTTGCCACAACAACTATCTTTTGTTGGCGGCCACAGATGTAACCACTCGAACTTAATTAAGTTTAGCAACAAGAATGAACGTTTTATTCGTAGTCAATGCCAAATATTTGTTTATATCCCTTGGCTACCAATATGGCCTTTAATCTTTCTACAGTGCCTCCGGTGGATATTTTACTGCATAAAATCCTTTTTCCAGCTGGTAACCCATTTGGTTCCCTTGTACCATTTGAATGAAGAGCAT